TTCATTACAGAGCTGGGAAAATGGTGTATTGATTAGATTCTGATCCGTGCACGTCCAATTTTGACTGACTTTAGTTCTAATGTTAATTTGACTTCAACCCATAAGTAATTATTTAAATTAACTCTAAATGTCACATGATGATGGATTAGTGTTCCACATTTCTTCCACTAATTTGTTTTACAATTAGGCCAAAGGTAAAGAGAGACATTGATGACCTTGTGTCCCTTTTGTTAGTACGTGGTTCCATTTTGTCTATGGCCTTGGACGGCTTCACTAAAAGTCACCCAGTTCTGCCCTGCTGCAGTCCGGCTGAGTGCAGTCACAGAGATGCTATGGCTGCTCTACATGACATTAATGGTCTGGTCTGAATGGACACCATTTCCTGCTCCCAGAGAGAATGACACTCCTCAAACTGAACATTACAGCTGTTGATACTGTCTCACATGGGTCTGCTCCCCCCCACTGAGCCATGAACTGAAAGCATGACATCTGCTTTGAACACTTGGAAGCCTCCCTGTCACACCAGCACCAACCCTTGGGTCAGTCAGATGAGACTAACGGCTTCACTTAGGGCATTTGGTTCAGATACATGACTCTCGTTACCGCAGAGTGGGTTGTTTTTAAGGCTATTCATACTGCTATGATGCCTGTAAGTGGGCGAGCTGGTAAAAGCCCCTACTATTGTTTCAAATAGGCCTAATGTCAGGGGTCTCTTAATGTCTAGTTCTACATGTATTCACATTATATAGACAATGTTTCCACCTGGTAAAACTAAAGGCTGCACAAAACTCAGGCTACAATACAACCATTCTGTTCTGCTCTAACGATTCAATATATAGATTCTACATCAAAACAATTAGCTTTTATTGTTTCCAATGATAACGTCACCTTCAGTGGAGGAATGCAAACCTGTTTTCAAATGTAAGGTTTTGATTTGGTTTGACATTTCTCAGTAATGACACCCTCAGACACCCAGTATCATTCATGCTATGCCTTCAGTAATAACTCAGATGTTAAAGGGATGAAACTTTTCCTCCCAAATCAGATATGCTTTGTTTTTCAACAAATGTATCCATTTCCTGCATAATATATGTTTATCACAATGGTTTTTGTGAGCTGCACACAGGTGATACTGAGTCTTCTCGATTAATAGATTATAAACTATACCATGTTTAAATAGACTCCTAAGTTATTATTTCATATGTACCATATGTAAGAAAAGGGAGGGAAGAGTCAATTATATTGAGTAATTGATTTTATATTGGGTAATTTATTTCTCAAACCTATGTTTTATGGAAGAGACAAAATATTTCTGATAAACTAATATTTTATCAAAAGGTAAATGGTGAATTAATATACATTTAGAATCATTGAGAAGGGGTTATATCCACAGGGACAAGCTCACCTTTAACTTACAATAACATGTCTCTGCTATGGACTGATGAGTATATGATTCTTGCATGTTCAATGACTAACACAAACCTTCAAAATGATAATGTGCATGTGTCAGGAAGGCTCCCAAATCATTCTGAGGGGCCTATCCTATTTTTGTAATTAAATGATAATGTGCTAATCCATTACTTTGAGTTGTCTTCACTCAGAAAAAACATCCCTATCAGGTGTTAACCCAATAACTAGGACAGCTCTCAAGGCCAAGGGTCAGAGAGAGAGAGGGTCACACTCTCCGGGTGCAGAGAGCACCCCCAGCCACGTGCAAGGAAGCACGAGGTCGTTCAAGATGAGAGGATGCTTCTCTTCACCTTTCTGCTGAGAGGGGGTTCTTCTCTTCATCTTTCTGATAAGAGGGGATGCTTCTCTTCACCTTTCTGCTGAGAGGGGGTTCTTCTCTTCATCTTTCTGATAAGATGGGATGCTTCTCTTCACCTTTCTGATAAGAGGGGGTTCTTCTCTTCATCTTTCTGCTAAGATGGGATGCTTCTCTTCACCTTTCTGATAAGAGGGGGTTCTTCTCTTCATCTTTCTGCTCGGTGGGCTCTAGCAGACAACCCTGCAGGACGAGCGAGGGCTTCAGAGGCTTCTATAATACAAGGTTCCATGTTTCTTGGAGGAGTTTGATGTCTTCCTAACCTCTCCCATCACGGGGGGGACACCTGGATGCATCAGGAATACGCAGTTGTACTCAAGCAGATAGCAGAAGGAATACCGGCAGATGAGCCTCCGTCTCACTGGGGGTCAGCTGCAGTGCTCACTGAATGAGCCACACAAAAGCAGAGCAATTGGGGGGTTGAAATATGGCGCTCTGATGAAGAAGAGTTTGAGCCAATCAGCACCTCAGTGCTAATCTACAGTATCAGGATGCCTTTACACACCAGACACTCGGTGTCATAAAGGGAGGAGGAGAACGAGTCAGGAAGCCTGACGGACATGTTCTTCCAGCTCTCGTACAAAGATGAACTTTGAATTGAATGACCAGATGTTTAAAGATGTACAATTAATGATTGTTTTTTATATTTCCAATGACCAGACATGTGTTAAGTAGTGGTGATAAATATATTTAGTCAGATCAGATTACACTTTCACACTAAACAAAATTAATAAATAAATATTTTCAGATTATAAGGTATTGAATAATAAGATATTTCTAATATTATAACAGATAATGTTAATATCCTTAATCATCCAGCAATCAGGCTTAACAACACTACTCTGTAATGTATTGTCCATGCACAGACAGACATAAAATGATGTTTCAAGTACTGGATTCATTTCAGTTTTGGCCCAAAACAAATATTTATAATAATTCATATAACAATTATGTAGCATATTTGATCCTCAAATTAGAGAATTATAATTTAAAGAAATTGATATTCTATATTCAACATTAGATAAACACAGAAGAACCCTTTCCAAGTACCATAAGTAGATGTTCAGGTAAGTATGGCTAATAAGAATAAGTGATAGACTTAATTTGGTACAGATCAGTTGTAGCATTTACAAATGTATGAATTAAAGTGTTAAGAATGTTTAATCTTTCCTTTCCAGGTTTTTACAAAAGTCTTTGAATATTTGCCTAACTTTTCCTTTTCAGATTTTGAACAATGTACTTGACTAAAATGAATGTACTGATTTTTCTAAGACTAAGTGCCTTACTCTTGACTAAAGCGTAATGAAGTAAACATAAAGTAATCCTAAAATTGAGGACACTGCAACTTTGCAGATTACAGATTGATCAAATCACCTGTGAATGTTATGCCTTAGCTGGATCTCTGATGATCCTCAGTTTGAAATGCTTTTAACTAGTGATTGCCTTAAAGCAAATCTTTAAGCTGTTTCTGGTTTTGATTTTATAGTTTGATAAATGACATTAACTAATGGTTTAAATGATAAAAGATATTAGTTTAAAACAAATATTTTGCTATTATGTATCTGTGTTTTTATGTGTGTTCATTATTGTGCTTATTGACAAAAGATGCTCCAAACACTGATGAGAGATAATTGTTCCTATTATGATTGCCTGTATCAATCATTGTGATTGAATGTTTCAATCTTACTCTACTTTGTGATGTAATTGAATGTAAGGTGAGACCACACTCGAATCTGAAGACGCCTATTGATTTAAGTATTGACCAGAATTATTAGACTAATGTTTTAAGGTTATCAAAAATGATAAAAAGAGAGGAACTGTTAAGGAATAATTCTTCTAGATATCTAACCTTTTACTCTGACATGTGTTATCTCCTCTAAGGAAAGGCCTTGGTGCCATATGTGTTGTTGTCACCAGTGTGAGACCGGTCAACTTGACTGGCACGTAGGGTAATTGTTGTGGGAACACTGAGGCACTTCTTTATCGGTGTTTGTGGGCTCTAGGATGTGAAATCCTTGAGGCCATGAGCGTTGGACGCAGATGATTCAGTGTTTAGTCTACTCCTTCAGAGATGTTGATCTCTCTCTGTGAACCTGTTAAAAGGTCTAGCATAGAGAGAGGTTCTTCAGAATTGACGTGGCAACTCTACCGTGTGGTCAGAACCTCTGACTCTTTGATTTGTGATGTGAATCCTCCGGCCGAATACTCTGAATAAACCCATCAGTGTTTGACATCAAAGCTCCAACTCTCACCGTGTCTCCTTCCTGAGTCGGTGACTCCATGCATTACTACACAGAAGTTTCCTCCACAGTATACAGCTCAGGTTACAGGTTACAGGTTTATCATTACTCTCTACTCCACTCCCTAACTCACACACACAGCAGGGTCAACGTCACGACTCCCCAGCCCTCCCCCCTCTGCTCCCCCAACCACAGGCCCGCACACCGACCAGCACTACTGTGCAGCTCTGTGATTGGCAGAGAGACGGGGGACGCCTGAGTGACACACCCAGCACCCTATGCAGGGTCGCTACACTTCCCCTGGATCTCTATAAAGTTTATTAAAAACTACAACCCCCATGATGCATTAGCTGTTATCTTGCTAACAGAGACACACTTGTTGAGACTGTAAAGAGTCAGAGACACTTTTAAAACTCATGCAGAGTTAGGCTGTGGACAAACTGTCCAAAAATCAGCTCCTCTCGTCTTTTCGTCTTGGTTAGGAAAAGACGAGAGGAGCTGATTTTTGGACAATTCGACCGGAAACCAGGGTTTGTTGTGTACCCCCAGCTAACATGCTAACGGAGAGCCTGAAACACAACTTCCGGTGCTGGCCTTCACAATAAAACCCACGGTTTTCTCTCTTCACCTTTCTCTTCTTACAAATATTATATTACAGGAAGAGGGGGAATACTTATAATATAGATAAAGGTGTTTCAGGAGAAATAAACCGGGTTCTCTCCGCAGCTCCATGTCTGTGTATCTTAAAGGTTTAGGTATTGTCTAAGGGGAAATCATAGCCGCTTTTATTTTGAAGTCCCTGCACCGGAAGTGATGGTCCCGCTCTTTCTAACTTGGAACCAGATCTCGTCTCGTCGGTTCTCTCTCTTCATCCATGGTTCTCTCTCTTCATCCATGGTTCTCTCTCTTCATCCATGGTTCTCTCTCTTCATCCATGGTTCTCTCTCTTCATCCATGGTTCTCTCTCGGTGTTCCTGAGGAAGTGTGTGTGAGCAGCTGATCCATCGTCTGTGTCTCTGGATGAACCTCTGACTTTGTGCTCTTTCTTCTGAAGCCTTTAGCTCGGACTCTAGAAGCTAGCTTAGCATGCTAGCTGGTAACACGCTAGCAACACAGAGTGAGAGAAACAGGAAGTGGTGATTTAGTAAACATGAGTGTTGTGCTGCTCTCGTTGGTGAAGCAGCGACTCACTGCGGCTGCTGAAGACATCTTTGTTCTGTTTGAAAGAACGATAGCAGAGTACGAGGAGGAACTGTCTCGTTCAAAACAGGAGAACGAGAGACACCGGAAACTACTGGACGCTGTTTTACAGCCTCAGCTTCAGATCCACAGAGCAGGTCTGTTCCCTTTTTAAAGCTGTAATCTGTAACCACTATTTCCGTAAAAAAAGCCTCGAACCTCGTGCGTCAATACATTTTATTACAGAGGGCGTTGCCCGTACATTTATGATTGGTTGAGACTAGTTTGGGAGGACCGTGGTTTAGACTTTGGTGCACAGACTGACCCCTCGATTCCACCGGGGTTGCGGTCGAAGAGTCCAAAAATCAGCTCCTAAGTTCTATCCCTATCGTCTATCCCTTGACCTCTGAGTGAAACGTCACGGAGTTAAGGGATAGTGGATAGGAGAATTCAAAAGGACTTAGAGACTGCGGTACTTTAGAGCAGGGGTTCCCAACCCCCGGTCCGCGGACCGGTACCGGGCCGCAGAGGTGTTACTGCCGGGCCGCGAAATAGCTGTGAGTTTATCGTAATATTTGCAGAATTATAAATATATAAAAATATTTTATCATAATATTTTCGCACCTATGCCACCAGTCATATTATTTCATCCAGTAGCTAGTTAATCTTTCAACAGAAAACCGTTGAAAATGGCTTTTATGATGTTCCGAGGGATTCGGCGGCTCAGCCTTATAAGGTCTCCTCTCGTGCGCACGAGCATGATACCGGTGCGCCAAGTAGGAAGAGGAGCGCACAGGAGACAACCGTTTGATTGCAGACTGTTATGTTTATGTGGGGAAATGGTGGTGCATACATTATTTGAGATATATTTCAAACTCGGACTTCATTTTAAGGACATGTCGGCCAGGGGTGTAGAGCTATTTGTTTAAGCGGATTGGTAAAACAGGAGAGTAAACCAGTCTGCCTTGATCGATGAATTAATGTCCGGGACTCTCACGATCTGCTGCCCGCAGCTGCTTTATAGAAGGAAACCCTCCTTCACTTCTTAAAACGGCTGCAGCATCAGGAGGCAGCGGCACGTATACTCCGCTTCTGAGAAGTGCAGCACCAGTATGACTGTGTTTAACTTCATCAGAACAGCTTAAGAGTGACTGCAGGCTGCTACGTGTTAACCACACACATCTCTACACACACCTCAGTCTACACACACCTCTACAGACATCGAACTGCCCGATTACTCCATCTTTTATTAGTTTTATGAAGGAGATGTCCAGTCAGTCACCAAGGCGCATGATGTGTGTGTGTATGTGCTCTGCTCAGCTCAGCTCTGTGTGTTCGGTGTGTTTGTGTCTGTCCGACACCGGCATTTGTTTTCAAATGTTTATGAACAGTAATTTACACACATATGGCTAACTCCATATATGCGGCTGTTCCCAAAATAAATTAGTTTAATCTTAATCTCGATGTAGTGCTAATGCTGTCGGAGTGCACCGGAACGAACGACACTATCATAATATCATCTGAAAACAAATGCCAGTGTTCATAATGCGGCTTCTCCTCGTTTTCCCAGCATTCACTGGATTATCCGTAAATCATACAAACAAAACCAAAACGTTAATTTATCTGTTTTCCCGTTTTGGTTTAAAAACTGAATAACGTAGGTTTTTTGGTTTTCCGAAAAACCAAAAAATGACACCGGTTCTTTTTTAAACTTTGTTAATATGTTTTGGATGCATATTGTTCTAGTATTTGTTCAGGCTGTTACATACAATTAGCCTCTGTTGCTACCTGCTGGTGGTGAGTAAATATTAAAATCAGTTAAAATTGACAACCGGTCCGCGATTTTTTTTTAATGTATCTTCCGGTCCTTGGCACAATAAAGGTTGGGAACCCCTGCTTTAGAGAATCGACTGCACTTTCACTATCCGACGTGTTTATGATGAGCCAGCGGACGTCATAAATGTGCGTCTGCTGCTGTGGGGAAACTATGGAAACTACAGTTTTCTATACAGCGGACTACAACATGGATGTTTAATAAGAACGAGGGACTACTGTAAACTCATCTAGAGACTCTGCACCGTGCTCTGATGCTGTTATGCTTTATGAACGGGGACAACAGAGAAACATATTCTTCATGACCAAAGTTGGAATTGAAATAAAAAAGGAAAGTGAAACTTATGCTCGTCACCCTCTCCCTCCGGTCCACATTAATACAAATGATCCCAATACGTATGATTGTATGAAAAGATCTTCAAATCAATACAAATGTATTTATTATAAACGTTAGTCCTTAACATCTATCACTGTGTATATCACCATTCAAACATCTTTTAAAAGTTGAACAAACCCCACACAGCTCAGTAAAGACTGTGAAATTAGGGCTGTGCAATTAATCGTATTTTAATCGCGATTACGATTATGGCTTGCGACGATTATGAAAACAGCATAATTGACAAAATACGATTATTTTGCTGGGTGCGCTTTCGCCCCTCCCTAAAAGCCCACTCGGCCACGTGGGAGTGACATGTGTGAGTGTTCAGCGCGAGCGAAGATGTCAGAACAAGAGCAGCAACTCGTTAAAAAGAAGGGTAAAACTATTTCCACTATTTGGAAGTACTTTGGCTTTCAGGAGTCCGACGTGGAGCAAAACAAAGTACAGTGCAGGATTTGTTATCAGGTTGTGTTGGCACCACACGCTAACACAACCAATCTCTTTAATCATCTGAAATACAACCACAAAGTGCAATACGACGGGGCAATAATACAACAAAAAGCAGACCAAAAAGATGCCCGCTCGACTTCATCCACAACATCATCACAGTCATCGATTCAGGACGCATTGCACAGAGCAACGGCCTACGCGACGAGCTCGCAGAGACACAGAGATATTACAGGTGCCATTACATTTCACATCGCTAAAGATATGTGCCCAGTTAGCACTGTTAGCAACCAGGGCTTTAAGCAACTTGTCAACACGTTGGACAAGCGTTACGCGATGCCGTCTCGGTATTATTTCAGCAGGTCTGCGCTGCCTGCGCTATATGACAAATGCCGTGGGGAAGTTGAGAGAGATGTGGCTTCAGCTGACTACTTTGCCACCACAACGGACCTATGGTCTAGCCGCACCATGGAGCCATACATGAGCCTCACAGTTCATTATATCGATGCCGATTTCAATTTGAAGACAAAGTGTCTCCAAACCCAACACACTCTCACTCCCTAAGCGTCCAGGAGCGACGCTTGGTCAGGGTCCCGTGGCGTCCAGTTGTGACGCGCCGAGGCTCCTTCAGCTTCATAAACGGACGCAAAGAGCTTTCAACTGATTGCAATGTATTCCCATCGGCGTCGGTATTTGACGCTTAGGGAAGCACGGCATTCGTTTGTGTCGGAGGCTGTTAAAGGCAATGTGAGCGTCCATTCCCATTGGATAACGGAGAATTGTACACCCGGAAGTAAGTATTCCCCTTACTGTCGATTGATTTGACAGTGATATCTCCACTACTCATCAACTCAAAAACACCAGATTATCTTGTTAATTAAACGACATTGATAGGTTTTAGTGTGTGTACAATGCTTTTGTCACGTTTTCCCCTTCAATTCTGAGAAACAAGTCGTTTTCTATGTGTTTTGGATGGCCGAAGACATGACATTACCCACAATCCTCTGTAGCAACCATAGACTGTATAAAACAATTAAATAATACATTATTACGAGTGTGCTTGCTTTTCTCTTTGAAAGTCATCACATAACGGCATTGTAATACACGTTTCGGCTGCATTAAATATGACATATCTGCCGTAGTTAACTCTGCCCTGATGACAAGACTTCTAGACAAACAGGAACTGCCGCCAAAACTGAAAACTTGACGTGGATCTTAAATATATAAGCAATTAAACAACATCTTACATTTCTTTTCACACAATACGTCTCCTTGCAGTATCAACACTAATTCGGCTGACTTTTATATTTGATCCAATTGGTAGATAGGCTGTATTTACGCCATAACGGTGCACAGCTGATAGAAAGTAATTGTATTATTAGATATTAATAGGAGGATGTGCAAAACAGACAAACTAATAAGGCTTTATTTAAACATTAAAGAATACTTTAGGTTAAGGTCTTCTTTTGAATAAGAAAAAAGCTTTGGGGGTATAGAAGATGAATATGGAGGGATGAAACCCTCTTTGATGGTCACACATGCAGAGCACACAGCACACAGAGTGAAATTTGTATCTACAGATAAATATTAAGCCTGACGAAGTACTTAACGTCTAATACAGCGACGTGCAGTCAGGGGAGGCAGGGGAGTCAGAGCCTCACCTGTCATACTCCAATGTAACGGAAAAACAACTAATTATAAAGAAAAACTAAATAGTAATAATAATAAAATGTCTCCACTGATCTGTGTTGTAAGTGTGATTTATGTATGATTCCAATCGCTTTTTATAGTAAAAATCAGCAAATTTGCAGAGCTCCGCTACGGGAGCAATGAGAAGTGAGGCAGGGAGGGACGAGCGCTGCCTCTCGTAAGCCCACAGTAACTTGCTGGAGTGCGGGCACTAATTTAGCGCAGGCACTTATTTTGTGAGTGCGTTCAAGCCAGTTACTGTGGGGTGAGGTGAGGCACAGATGAGATCTGCCTCACCTCAGAATGCGTCACCCCACAGAAACTGGCTGGAAAGCGGGCCCTAAGCGCATGCCTGTTACCATCTCACTATAGGTCACACATGTAATGTTTGTAGATCCCTTTATTACATTTATCCTCGCCATCCATAGTCTCTAAATAACTTATTTCACGTATATATGATATTTAGGCCCGCTGGTCTCATCGTACAACGGCAATGAAAAAAGCACCAGGGGAGGCAGCCATAACCTCTGCCGCACTGAAGGGGGCGCACGTGTGCCCACAAGTTATTGTTGCTACTGTTATTCTACGCAGAGACGGTAGACGTAACAACAAACTAGACTTTTGAAACTACAGGAAGATAAGGAGGACTTTTACAAAACAGTAATAGAGATTGTTGTCCAGAAGGATAGCATGGACTTCATCTTCAAGTCAAGGTAAGACCACATTTGTAATGAAAATGGGATCTTACTAAGAAAGAACAATCCAATATTTAGATTGTGGGTATCCTTTTGTTGAACGGTCTGTTTAAAA